GTATTCGCAGGGATTCAAAAAACTTGTTCCCGATCGTTGGGAGTTTTCGAATGATTTCTTTCGGAGAGGTGAGAAACGTCTTCTCCGCGAGATCCAACGACGGAAATTAACTGCTCCGTTGCCGGAAGTTGTTCAGAGAATACAGACGGTTAAACCGATTGTATCTCCGTCTAATTCAGGGGAAGATCAAGCGGTTTCTCCCTCGTCTTGGTATTGTCAAACCGGAACCGGAAATGGTGGTTTAATATCGGTTGAGTTATTAGAAGAGAACGAGAAGCTTCGGATTCAGAACATACAGCTTAATCGTGAGCTTACTCAGATGAAATCTCTCTGTGATAACATATTTAACCTAATGTCGAATTACGCCGGATCTCAGCCTGATCGGAGCTATTCTCCGGGAAGGAGTAGTAGTCACGACGCGATTAAACCGGTTGAGTTTTTACCGGCGAAGCGATTTTCAGGTGAGACTGAGGTTGTGGTTGTGGAGGAAGAAGCGAGCCCGAGGTTGTTCGGTGTTCCGATTGGGCTTAAACGGACGAGAAGTGAAGGAGTTCAGGTGAAGACGACGGTGAGGGAAGAGAAAACCGGCGGAGGTGTGGAGGAGACGACGCCGTGGCTTAGACATTATAATCGGGCCAATCAGAGAGTCTGTAATTAAACGGCTGAGATTTAATGTTTGCGTGTAAAGATACGTGCGCGAAGTAGCGGATAATAGCCTTTTCACAAGATCAGCGCACGTGTCTCATCTGTTTCAAGAAGTTTCATCAATTTGACTTTTTCTGCTAACACTTTCGTTTCTTTTTTATTAATTAATAAAATGGTCTTTTTGCAGTGTATTTCTACGATATTTCCCTTTTTTTGTTTCGACGACAAAAAGAAAATTAAATATTTCTTTAACGAAAAGACGTAGATATTAATTATTAATGATGAGATTGAAAATTGTGTAGATTCTCCCGTTTGGTGGTCGTGATTCATGGAACGTGGACCGAACTTCGTCAAAGAATCTATCACTCTGTGATCCGAGTATTTTAGTCCTCGAGTATAAAACTTTGACCTATATTTATGTAAATCTCCAAAATTAAATGACATTTTCGTAGAAAACCAATTGTATTTTAGTGTGGTTAGAGACGAGTAGATTACCATCATTACA